GTGGGGTAAGCTAATACTCTGCTTGAAGTTGTGGCGTAGATTTGTTTTAGCAGTAATCTAACTGTTGTGCTATAGTTTTTCAGTAGCAGTAGTAGTAGTAGCTCAATAGAGGTTGAAACTAATTAAGCCTCTAAACAGGCAATATTCTTACTGCATTATACAGGGTGTTTCCTAACTGAATTTCAATATTTATGGGGGCGATTTTGGGGCTCTTTTAAAGAAAAAAATTCATATTATGAAATTTAACACATATGTACTATGTATCAAGAGGTATTTTTTAATATACCACATTTTTTTGTATTTGATAGTTTTCCACTGATTTCTCAATAAAAATTATTCATGAAATCCCCATTGTTTTCTAACAAGTTTGTTTGCCTGATTTTTTCATTCTGATGGATGGTTTTCACTTAAAACTTGATCAACTCTTGTTTCAGATTGCAATAGTGGCTGTAATGTGTAAACCACATCGTTGCCCACATATTAACTTCACAGGAAACATTTGCGTTTACTGCCCAGGGGGGCCGGACTCAGACTTTGAATACTCTACTCAGAGTTACACTGGATATGAACCAACCTCAATGCGAGCAATAAGAGCTAGATATGATCCATACTTGCAAACGAGACATCGAATCGAGCAACTCAAGCAGCTGGGCCATTCTGTTGATAAAGTTGAATTCATTGTTATGGGTGGAACATTCATGAGTCTGCCTGAAGACTATAGAGATTATTTCATAAGAAATCTCCATGATGCATTGTCAGGGCATAAAAGTAGCTCTGTAGAGGAGGCTGTAAAATACTCTGAGAGGTCAGATACAAAGTGTATTTGTATTACAATTGAGACTAGACCAGATTATTGTTTAGAACGACACCTGACTGACATGTTGAACTATGGTTGCACCAGAATTGAAATTGGTAATGATCTTTAGGGTTATATGATATTTTGAACTAAATACAAATGTTTTTTAGGAGTTCAGTCTGTTTACGAGGATGTAGCCCTAGACACAAACAGAGGGCATACAGTCAAAGCAGTGTGTGAAACTTTTAAACTGGCAAAAGATGCTGGTTTTAAAGTTGTAGCTCATATGATGCCTAATCTGCCAAATGTTGATCTTGAAAGTGACATACAACAATTTGTCGTAAGTTCATTGATGATCTTATTTCTCCAGTAATACTTCTTATATAGAGTTGAGTTATGTGACAGTCTTTTTGTAGGAATTTTTCGAAAACCCTGACTTCAGAACTGATGGTTTGAAGATATATCCTACTCTAGTTATCCGTGGCACTGGACTTTATGAATTGTGGAAGACAGGACGTTACAAGAGTTATCCACCATCTGTTCTTGTTGATTTGATCGCAAAAATTCTTGCTTTGGTGCCTCCATGGACAAGGGTTTATAGAGTTCAGAGGGACATCCCTATGCCTCTAGTGAGGTAAATATTATGTCATTTATTCATTCTCATCAAAACGCATTTTATACAAATAGCCATACAAAACAATTTATCTAACAGAAGTCAGTCAAGTCAGAAAATATCAATTAATCGCCATATATAACAATACAACCTACAATTAATTTTAAATTAAGTTGGTATATGGAAACTCTTGGTTATGTGGTTGTAAAAAAACAGATTGTATTGTTGGCGATGTCTTCTGTTTTATACAGAAAAAAATGGGTGGACCAGCAGTGGAGTCAATGATAGAAATAATTTTTAATTTAATTCAGTTTGGCAAAACAAGAATCAAAAGTTGTCTTAAACAAGCTTTTAGGCAGCACACTTCTAGATACCGTACGTTTTTGGCAGAACAGGAATTACCGTTCATATTGAAGGGGATGGCTGTCAATAGAGGAAATTACAGAAAATCGTTAACATTCATTGCCAAAAAAGATCAAAAATTTTCCGTCTAGAAACATCGACTGTTTTTTCGGACGGCTTGGATTAGTCATAGCATAAGATGATTAGGTATATCAAGTGCCCCAGACGGTCAGTCCAGGAATGTTTACCTTAATTTGAAAATAGTTTAAATAAAATACCTAAAATAAGCAAAAAATTATATTTGGGAGGTTCAAAATAAACTTTTTTTAATAAGATTTACACATCTGGTTTTGGTAACAGTCTAGGAGAAGTCACACGTTGCCATTGCCGAAGGGAGTAGGTTAGAACTCTTTAGGCTAATAGTATTTGGATCTTCACTAATCCTCATGTTAATTGAATGTATTTGCCCATATTTCAGGAATGTATCCTTATTGTTAAATAAATATAAACAACTTTTCAATATGTAGAAACATATTTTCTCTTAGAACTTTGTTTAAAATCGCCAGATCGCCTTCATGAGGTAAAAATACCAGCCATTTGACTCTTGAGATTTTGTTTTCAGTTCTGGAGTGGAACATGGAAACCTCAGGGAACTAGCTTTAGCCAGAATGAAAGATCTAGGCCTAAAATGTAGAGATATCCGCACTAGAGAAGTTGGCATCACTGAAATACATGAAAAAGTAAGACCAGACTACATTGAACGAGTTAGACGTGACTATTATGCAAATGGTGGATGGGAAACTTTCTTGAGCTATGAAGATCCTGAGAAAGATATTCTTATAGGACTCCTGAGGTATGTTGAATTTGCTATCTGCTCATGGTAACATAGACTTAAATAATGTAATGTTTCCATCAACTCTATATGTATTATGGTCTCTTTCACAGTTCTCCATTACCAAAGTGACAGTGTTATATCATCATAATAATACTTACTGGTGGAATTTATTACTTCAAACAACTAACGACACATATGGAGACAAGTGAAAAATACCATAATTGAGATCCTTTCTGTTTTGTTCATGTGCCTGTGACAGGAATGTAATTATTTATTTCAGATTACGAAAGTGTTCAGAGGAAACAACCTTTAGACCAGAACTAAAAGGTGGCGTCTCGATAATCCGAGAACTGCATGTTTATGGAAGTGTGGTCCCAGTTAATAGCAAGGACGAAAAGAAGTTCCAACATCAAGGATATGGAGCACTTCTGATGAAATGGGCTGAAACAATCGCTAAAGACGAACATGAATCCCACAAAATAGCCGTGATATCCGGGGTTGGAACCAGAAATTATTATAGGAAAATTGGATATGAACTAGAAGGTCCATACATGGTGAAGAGCTTGAAAGATGGGGAGCATAAGGGTGTGTTTGAATTCCTTGATGGACGGAAATTGGATATTGAAGTAGACCCAGAATACGCAAATGTGATAAAACACGTGAGATATGAGGATGAGAAGGAGAAGGAAGAGGAAGAATGGCTGGCCGAGTATGATAAGAAACTTAGGGAGAAGCGAAAGGCACAAGCAGCTGCCAAATTGGCTGAAGAGAAAGTTTGATTTAGCTTAGTTGTTTTTTGTTTGAGATAAATTTAAATTTGATATGATGATATAATCTTCCCAGATTTTTCTTTGTCTTTTATTTCTGCACACTATTTGTTATTATTTGAAAAGTGGACATACAAGCAAATGTATTATCAAAAATCACATTAACATATGTACACAGCACTTACAACAGTGGCATTAATGCTAGTAAGTCTATGTTTAGGGGAAAAATAGTGCGCCACTGTTTTTTGCAAAAAGTTGGTGTCATTACCTACACCCTATTCACAAGCATCCATTAGGTTTTGACGTCTAGTGAGGTGAACAGTTGATCGGCAAGTGACATCTTTGTGTTACCCTGTAATGTCGGCAATAGTGAATTGGGTTTAAATGTATTGTTTTTTGTATGCCAAGCAATTATTCTAAATAAAATAGTTGTTACCAAATACAAAATAAATCTGAAGGGTACAAAAAAACTAAAACAAAATATGTCTATGTCTATCTAGCGTTGACGGATCCGTCAAAATTATCTGTCACTTGTCGATATGGGGAATTTTGAAATATTACTAGATAATCAGCTGTCATTCTACCGTAATGGATACTCATGAAAAAGACTTTAAATAACTGGCAACCATCTCAAATACACCGAGGATTGACCAAATATGCAATTTGAGGTTTAAACAAAATTTTAATACAGCAAGCATATATCTATCTTTTACTTATTGAACTACATCGAGAAATATTCCGCGCAGGGCTCTAAAAATTTAATATAGGATGACATACACCCTATTTCACGAATATCCATCACGCTTTGGCGTCTACTGAGGTGGACAGCTGATCAGCAAGTGACATTTATGTATTAGTCTGCAACGTTGGCTATAATAAATCGGCTTTAAATCTAGCAAACATTTGAGCGTTTTGTTTTTTGTATGCAAATGAACGTTTCTGAATAAAAGAGCTTTTAGCAAGTACAGAATGAATACGTAGCGTACAAAAAAACAAAACAAAATAAGCCTCTGTCTATCTGGCATTGTCATCACGGTAGAATGACAGCTGAATTTCTAGTAATATCTCAAAACACACAATTCTGACACATACGTCAACGCCAGATAGAGAGAGCCGTATTTTGTTTTGGATTCTGTACGCTACAGTTTCATTTTGTACTTGCTGACAGCTCTTTTATTTAGAAACGTTGATTTATTGCATACAAAAAACAAAATGCTCAATTAAGTTTTACTAGATTTATAGCCGATTTATTATTGTCAACGTTGCAGACTAACACAAAAATGTCACTTGCTGATCAGCTGTCCACTTCACGGAAACAGAAATTATTCTCAAAACCTGTTTGTAAACCAATATTACACGATTTAGTTTAGTAACAAAAGAAAGATGTATGCTTACAATTCAAATTCTTTTCTAACCTTAAACTGTGTAGTTGACCAATCAGCGGTATACTTAACATGATTCCCAAATTGAATCTACTAAAAAATTGTCTCTTGGAGTTTTTCGCTCAAATACACCACATGTGAAATATTTTCATTGGCCAATACGTATCAATTTATTCATCATTATCATGTAATAATAATTAACATAAAAAACAAAAAACTGATGTAAGACACTTTTGATTTGGTTGATATGATTGAGAAAAGATACGTTTGCTAAAACCAGTTTTGTACAATTTCCGGCTACATGTATATATATGCACTTTATTTCAAATTTTCACATACTAAACTAGCCTTTAAATGTTAATGTCAATATTCTGTAGCTGACTGTATATTTGGAATAAAATAAATTAAGACGAGCTTTGGGAATTATTTAATTCATATAGTCATCTTCTATTTTATTTGAGATCGATGCGGTTACACATTCTTTGATTCTTCACTCTGAGCAGCATTGTGACGTGCCACTGACTGAGACTGCATGATGTATCAAATTTTCGGATCGCTTCCGTGAATGATTCTTCATCTCCTTTATAGATACTTTCCATGAGAGTTACGATCAATTGGTATTCCCTAGATATACAAGTTATTTATATTATTAAGGCCCGTATCGTCAGTCGTCCCTACAATTCTAGGGCGCGTTTATGGCCTCCTTGATTGTCATAGTTTTCTACTTCTCCGTGTCAGAGCTCTATTTTGAGGTTATGTCACAAACATCTAGTTGCATCAAATTGTGCTTGCTTTTGAAGTTATATCATGTTTTATCAGGCTGAAATTTCCTACAATTTAAAAGGAAAACATATCTTAACAATAGGAGAGCGCTGACGCTGACACGGGACGAGTGTAATCTAGAAATGTTTGAAGGAGAGAAAAGAGTATGACAATCAAGGAGGCCATAAACGCACCCTACAATTATAGGGACGACTGACGATACGGGCCTAAGACACACAGTAGACATTTATGGCTGGCAGACATGGCAAGGAACTTAAACCCCTTTTTAAAATCATTAGATAAAAAACAACAAAAATAATTTCAGTTGTAAAATAGGCTCAGTATTGACTTGTAGTGAACGATAGTTATTATAAATATTCAAAAATAGATAAGGGATTAAACAGTAATGACAATTATGTACCCATCAGGCCAAATGAGCTCTACAAGAATACACACTCATTATTTACTGATTTTATTATTACACAAATAATGACGATTTTTCTCAGGTTAGTAGTGAAAAGCATAACTTGCGGCTAAGGGTCTTCGTACACTTTTCGATGCCAAGTTGACCAGGAATATAATTTTTCTGCCAAAAAAAATACATTGGAATTAATAGTCTCGTTACAACGACCTTACCTGCTATTTTCAAAAGCTGGATACATATCGATGTAAGTCTGAAGCTTGGGAATGAAATCAGTATCAGTACACAACAGACAAATAGCTGCTCGAAATAGATACTGTTTCGCGCTGTATTTCATCAAAGAGCTGGCCAAGTCAAAACACGCGATTTCTTGAAATATGTTGATTGCCTTCAAAAAAATTATTGTTAGAAAAGAAACGACTTATACTTCCACCCCCGTATAGCTGTGATCTATAAAAAAGCATCAAGGATGTAGGGAAGGGAAGTAAAATATCTCGAAAGGTGTTACTATATATTTGTTTTGCTTGCAGTGTTATCATTTCAAAATATAGATAATTTGTCTTGATCTTCTACTTATAAATAGATTTTTTTAACCTAATGTACCTTGTCGTAATCTTTTTCCAAAGCGGCATATTCTGCAACTTTCACAAGGCACTTATTGGCAGAGGAAAAATTGCATTCTTGCTTGAAAAGATCCGCAGCTTTTTCGTAATGTTGAATAGCTTCATTCAAATCGTAATCATCTTCCATTAATTCGGCGATGTTTTGATGAATTTTTGCCGCCATTAAAAACTTGCCTGCAATGGAATCGTTGATAACAATATTTTTATTTGAACTGCTGTATCAATCCTTTCAACCTATAAGATACGTCTCGATTACTTGTTGCGCCTTCGCCAAATTAGGCAACCAAGGCTACACCATTATGTATCGCAGCTTGCGAAGCTTTGAGAACTATTGCGTTCCCGTCCGTGCGCGCTTGTGGCGCTATCTAGAAAGGTTAAGCCGATATTCAAGAATAATCGAGACCCGTCTAGAAGCACCTATCGCCATCTGTCAGCTTCAACGAGAAATCGAGTTTTTTCTAGAAAATGCTGGAGTCCATCGGGAGCCGTCGATTCACCATATAAATATCCGATCACATGGCGGAAGTAGTCATTCAGTGGACAGTCAATAGCGGACGACAATTCACCACAGGAGGTGGAAGCGTAATCCAGTCAACATGGTTACAAATTGTCATAAATTAGTACAAGTATTATAATTAGTGGGAACGTAATAAATTAGTCTTTGAGCTGTAAGAACCTGGATGAACCGTTGATTGTCAAGGTAAGTCCGCAAAGGAAAAAGGTACAAATGAAGAAATGGAGTAAATTATGATCAACTTTTAAGGTAAGCTTGCGGATTAACTTTTCTCAACGATAGTGTCCATATACCTATCCTCATTTCATCCTTGTTGAAATAAATTAATGAAACCGGGATTCAAACCACGAGATGTAATTAAGCGTTACACAAAAGACAATGAAGGTAACTGTGGGAGTTCCACAGGGCTCAGTCGTGAGGCCATTGTTTTGGACCGTTTTGTATGATGGGGTTCTTTCCGGGAATTCCCTTGACAGGGTTTGTTGACGGTCTAGCGATGATAGTAAACTAGCAAGAGGACCACTATAAAGGATTTTGGCTTATAGAATCACGAGGATTACCATAAGGGTGGACGACAATCTATTGAAATTCGCTCCTGAGAAGATTGGAGTAGTTATATCTTCCGATAGATAGAAACTAACTTCACTGGTCGTTAGGATTGGAATTACCGAGATTCGATGCCCCAATGCGATTGAATATCTAGAATTGTGACTCGACAACGACCTTAAAATGAGTGTACACATAAGGCTCACCACTGATAAGGCAAATAGAGCCGTTGCATCCCGCATCCCCGATTCAGCTGTCATCTGATGAAAGTGAGGCACCAGTAGTGAGATGCGTAAGATCTTGGCTAGGGTAGCAAACTCAATTATACTATATGGAACCCCTATAAAGGGTGTCCGAAAAGTTGGAATTTTACTTTACACGACGAATAGGTGTTGAAAAAAAATAAGGGGGGGTCTTAAGATGGAAGGAAGATTAGGCTCCGCAGAATCAATCAAACGACATTATAATGACAAACGAATTTGCAATGTCAACACAACTTTTTTGTATGTCTCCGAGGAGATTTCCCTTTCCAAAAAAAACATACTCTCAACTTCTCCAGTGTGAAATTGGCCTACCTCCCGAACTATAACCGTCCGCTCCCCGTTAATGTCCTCATCAACGCCAGCGTTGATCCAGATGCCCAACGCTGCGTGCCAGCTCCAGCAAGCGCGTTTAACCCGTTGACATTGAATCAACGGTGTGTCAACCACCACCAACGGTGTCTCGCGTCTCGCCGCGCTGATCAAGGGATGGATGCACGATGCTGAATGCTATCTCGTGTGTGAAATTCAGGATATCGATTATGTATTTTTAACTTGCCCCTTTTCCCCGTATATGTTATGAGCTAACAGAAATTTGTTAGTTTTTGCCAACACCCAACAGGTCGTTTTGAACAATTTTGACGAAAGTAGTGAAGAAATGTTCGTACGCAAGACGTTGTTCTAGTGAAATTTACGTGCGCTTTTGTGGTGTTTTGGATCAACTTGATGGAATAGCAGGAAATCGAAAAATTACAAATGTTATCAGGAATTAATAGGTAAGGTATAGAAGACTTTTGATCGTACAAGACGTCAGGTGAATTAAGATTCAGCTATCAAAAACTTTGTTTTTGCGTCAAGGAAGCTTTCTTAGAGGAAGTTGTGACCAAATGTGTCATATTTGGACGCGAGAGGTTCTTGTAGTGAGGTTGCCAAGCATTTTTTATCTTTCTGAGAAGTTTCTGGACACTGTGTTGTAGTTACAGGAAATCGAGGAATATGAAATGTTATCCGAAGATAATATGTAGAGTTTAACGCTATAGAAGATTTATGTTCGTAAAGGACTTCAGAGGAGCTACCAGGAACTAGTTAGTTTTGGCTCAAGGGGATCTTTCTTAGACAAAGTTGTGAGCAAATGTGTAATATTTTGATCAGAGAGTTTACTGTAGTGAGGTGGCCACGCGGCTTTCCGCACTTTCAGGGAAGTTTCGGGAGATTTTTTTGTATTAACCGGAAATCGAGCAATATGAATCATAAGAGAATAGGCAAGGTTTAGCGCTATAGGAGATTTCTGTTCGTAAAAGACCTCAGCTGAGATGAGGTTGAGCTACCAGGAACTTGTTAGTTTTTGCCTCAAGGGCCTCTTTTTTAGATAAAGTTGTGACCAAATGCGAAAATAGTGTGGATGCGGGAGTTTGTTGTAGTAAGGTTTCTTTGCGGATTTTTGCTCTTTTGGAGAGGTAGTTGACCCAGGTCATATTCCACAAAACTGCACATGAGGTTTACAATGAAAAATAATTTTGTTAACACACAACTTGTTTCGCTGCGATCAACATCGACTCATTCTTATTGGCAAACCGTTTACACTTGATTCATGGCCTTATCAAAGTTATACTATTAAGGTGCACGTCCACTAAGTGGAAGAGAAGAGAAGCGAAATTGTTCCACTGGGCAGGACTGCCAGACGTACGAGAAACCTAGTACATGAACTAGATTTTTAGTTTCTGTATGAGATAAAAGATTAATATAATATAAATCTCGTACACTTTTGTATGATATTTTCAAAATGACAACTGCGCACCCCCTGCCGGTTGGCCAATAGCTGGTTTGTCAAACATAACCACGTCAAAGACTCTCAACGCGATGAGAGTGTTGCTATTCCATTCTTTAATACTTTAATACCGATTTTTTTAAAACGATATCAATACAGACCATTTATTGCCTTTCTCTATCTACAAAAATACATCATCATTAAGTAAATGTTGATATTACTGAATCATATCAATTCCAAGTATTCCCACTTTATACTTCGTAATTCATCATACTACTACAGAATAGCAGAGCACTGGTTTCAATTTTTACAAGTTTGTAATGTGTCAAATAAAGCAAACGAGCCTCCTTCCCGCGTCCATAGGCTCCACCCGAACTGAAGTTCTATACACGCCACTGTGCACGAGATCTTGAACAGAATGTACGAGAAGTTTAGTATCTCTGGTACGAGAAACAGATCTTGGCGTCTGGCAACCCTGGCACTGGGTACCTTTACGTGTAATCAAATAAAAACCAGCTCACTGGACAAGGCCGTACCCAGCTCAAAAAGCTTAAAAAAATGTTTGGTGGAGTTCATATCTTTCTTTCTTTCTATTTGGATTTTACTTATATAGTCTTCCACGACGCTTTTACGATTCATATGGATATAGAAACATTCAAACAATATTGCGCGAGGTATGCTTTTTAAGTAATAATTTAGTCGTTTGGAATACTTGAAATCAACACTTGAGATAGTATACTAAGTGACATATAAATCCGAACACCCAGTTTAAATGGTTTTATTTTAATAAAATTTTGTATAAGTACTTAATGAAGCATAATAAGTAAATGATAAAAAATTCAAAATGATTGCACTGCTTTAAAACCCTTTGACCTTTAATAATGTGTGGATGCACCCTGATGTGCTACGCATTCTCCAACGCGCCTAGGCATGCTTCTGATCAGGTGGTCAATGTCCTCCTGTGGTATCTCATTCCAGGCAACCACCAACTCCTCTCGAAGTGCTTCTAGAGTCTGAGGAGGACGTTGCAAATTGAGCAATCTCCTACCCATCATATCCCACACGTGCTCAATTGGGGATAAGTCGGGAGATCTTGGTGGACATGGTAACAATGTGACATCATTATGTTGAAAGAAGTCTATTGTGACTCTTGCAACATGTGGTCGGGCATTATCTTGTTGGAAAGTTGGATCTGCTAGGGTGTCAAGATAGGGTAAAAGATGGGGTTCTAGAACTTCGTGGATATAACGCTGCGCGTTCATGTTACCTCTGATGAAGATTAAAGGTGACCTGGAACCATAAGCTATAGCACCCCAAACCATAACTCCAACAGTGTGATGAACATGTCTTTCAACAAAAAACTGTGGATTCCTCCTTTCACCACGTCGCCTTCTAACCCTGGCACGACCATCGTGCATGCCTAAACAAAATCGAGACTCGTCACTAAAGACAATACTGTTCCATTCCTGATCCCAGAGTGACCGTTGTCTGCACCACTCAAGGCGATTACGTCGGTGTTCTCGAGTTAAAGGGAGGATCCAGTGTGGCCGGAATGAAAACAAACCAAAACTTCTCATTCGTCGGTAAACACTTCGCATGCCAATAGGTCTTCCGTGTTCTGCAAACCATTCATTTGCAATGGACCTGGTAGTGGAGAAACGGTCCCTTAAGGCCAATAATCTTAGGCGGCGATCTTCACGGTCTGTTGTTCTACGGCGGCGTCCGGTGCCCCTTGCTCTTTGCATACGGCCTTCTCGAAGCCATGCCTGACAACACCTAACCACAGGGTCTACACTTCTTTGCACTCTAACTGCAATTGCCCGAAAAGAAAGTCCAGCTTCTCGAAGTCCCACTATACGGCCCCTATCAAACTCACTAAGTTGACGAAATCGTACAGGTCTCCGTACTCTAGGCATCGTAACCAATCGTAAAGGATGTCAAGAACCAAAATCCGCCAACGTTGATTCTTTACTGCGGCTGAAATATTCATTTTTAGAGCGTTAGTGAATTAAAAAAAAGCAGTATAAAAACCGGAATGTCCAACTGATAAGGCTGAACATTTTTTCACTTGTTATTTACAGTAAGATAAATACATTCACCAACTTTTATTAAAATAAAACCATTTAAACTGGGTGTTCGGATTTATATGTCACTTAGTATATATGACATAGCAAAAAATAGTTTTATAGAATATGTACCTAGTTTGTTCTAGAATGATCTCCGAAATGGTAAGAGATACGGGTCGGTTGAATGGTGGCAAAATTGCGTATTTATTTATTTTAGAAAATGCATTTGGAAAGTTTTGACGCTTTCAATATCTCCGGAGATGCACGGAGAATGGAATGTTCTCAAAACAAAACTAAAACCAGGAAAAAATAAAAACTGAAATACCCTCAATTTCGAAACCACCCAAGTTCCATTTTTTATTTACCTAAGCAACTTGTCCCCACAAAGTACCCCGCATCATTAAGGCGATTGTCACAAGATGTAATTTATATTGACCGTGAACCTTGGACGTCAGTAATTATCGATGCATATTTTTCGCAGAAATCCTCTGGTGGTACGGACCACAGTAAATACTGATTGTGTGACGATCGTGCTTTTACCAAAATTTATATCTAACATTGCAGCTCGTCCTCAGTGGACTTGCAGCTTTACAGGATCTGGACCTATAAATTCAGACATCGTGAAAAGGAAGCTCTATACCCCATTTGTAGTCTATTTACGCCCCGGCACAACAAAGATGCATCGCGGCTAAGCGGCAACCGCCTAAACGTATAGCTATTGGACATTCGGTCATAAAACTACGAACAAGTGCAGGATTCGACAGGATGGAACTCAGGCTCGGGGTATCGCCGGCAGTTGCTGTTCATATTCGGTGCATACATAGCGTTTATTTATACGATAGCATGTCGTCTACGGATACAGCAGATAGAACTGAGAATAATTATCCAAATGCTTCCTTCGGCCATGCTTCCTCTTCGGTGATGTCTGCTCCCCGACAGAAGAAGGGGCATTTGAATATTCTAGCAAAATAAATTATCCTTGACGTTGAAGAAACGCTTCCAAAGCTTGACGACTATGCCGTCACTGTACTTGATACTGCTGCATACCACACAAGAAAACTAGGAAAAATTCCCACAACGTCCACAAGAAAGGCAGAAATTCAACAATGGCTCCTATCAGAAGACATTAGTTTCAATGGAAATATGGTCAAAGCAGAACTAATCCATCTAGTCAGGCAGCACAAATATAAATATAATCTTAATGTTATTGACGAAATAGCTAAAAACCAAAATGAGACCGTTTTTAGGCTACCCCCTTATCACTGCGAATTAAATCCCAATGTAATGATAAATATAAAAATCTATGTAGCTTCAAACAATAGAAGATTCAAATTTTTGACGTGAAAAATTTGTTTTATGAAGCTGTCAACAGACAATCGACACAAAGATGTGGGATCTGGACAACATGATCGATATTCAAATTGAATATTAACCACTCGGACGATGATTCAAGTACTTCCAGCGAATAAAGTATAGTGAAAAGTATATATAAAAATAATCATTTATTTTGTTAGATTATTCCAAGACCATTGAGCGAAATACGGAACTGTACACTCTCGCTTTTGGGCATCTTGTGTTTGGTCTAAGCGTGAATGGACCACGAATGTATAGATCGCAATACCAACCTCTCTCCTGGTACAACTCGATAGCCTTCGTGTACAGATCAATCGCTTTGACCACGTCGCACTTTTTGAAGCACACTGCTGCTTCAACATAGTTGATCGCAGCTTCAGCTTCATTGTTGTTTCTCAAGCACTGATCTGCGGCATCTTCAAACGCATGTCCAGCCTGACTCCAGTTCTTCGACATCTTGAATAAGTTAGCTGCCCGCATATAGTACTCTATCGATTCTTCTATCCGCTCTGAGGACTTTGTGAACAGGTTCTTTAAATTGAAACGTAAAAACTGAGGTTTATCTCAGAAATAGTGCTTTTCTAGACGTTTTATGAAAAATCATCCAAAGGTTTGTTCCTGCAGTGGTCGGTGATTGTATCCGGCCGAGATCTTCGACACGATCACTGACAGGTTGGCGACTGCTGTACGAGCAGGACTTATAGCACGGTTTTCGCTTAAAAAATAAAACCATTATTTGCATGATCATAACAATATCGATAATATGACGATATTACTTTGTAGGGAAGATTTTATTTTTTTACGTGAAAACTGTGCATTGGACTAAAAAAATTCTCTGCTCATAAATGAATACAGTTTTCTGTTTTTTTATTTTAAGATTAGTCAGTGGCGTTAGAAATGATTTATTTCTCTCAAAACCTAAGACGTTTAGGACATACGCTCATTTGAAGTTTTCTTCCTAAAGTGGACTCAAAACCGTCCCCTTAAATACTGACATCAATCAAGAAACATGCTGTATGTGGTACCATTAACCGCCAGAAATTATGGGGAATTATCAGATGTTTTCTTTTCAGTTTTGCCGTCAGCTCACTGTTTTACTGCCTACACCACTGGGCGAGGAGGTATTGTAATCGAGAAAAATTTCTAAAATGAGATATTATGGTTTTTGGATGTTATATGACATGTCATGAAAAACCATTCCACTCATTTATTTCCGTCAGTCTGTCTGTCTGTCGGTCTATCTGTCCGCTATTCTTTGGATTGTCTATAACTTGGGAAGTAACGCTCGCTCTTGGATTAAATTTTCACACAGGGTAACTACTATGCCAAGGATGAAAAATATTTGTAGTTTTTGGAAATCGATCCAGTACAAGCGGAGCTAGGAGCTAATATACTAAGTGACATATAAATCCGAACACCCAGTTTAAATGGTTTTATTTTAATAAAATTTTGTATAAGTACTTAATGAAGCACAATAAGTAAATGATAAAAATTTCAAAATGATTGCACTGCTTTAAAGCCCTTTGACCTTTAATAATGTGTGGATGCACCCTGATGTGCTACGCATACTCCAACGCGCCTAGGCATGCTTCTGATCAGGTGGTCAATGTCCTCCTGTGGTATCTCATTCCAGGCAACCACCAACTCCTCTCGAAGTGCTTCTAGAGTCTGAGGAGGACGTTGCAAATTGAGCAATCTTCTACCCATCATATCCCACACGTGCTCAATTGGGGATAAGTCGGGAGATCTTGGTGGCCATGGTAACAATGTGACATCATTATCTTGAAAGAAGTCTATTGTGACTCTTGCAACTTGTGGTCGGGCATTATCTTGTTGGAAAGTTGGATCTGCCAGGGTGTCAAGATAGGGTAAAAGATGGGGTTCTAGAACTTCGTGGATATAACGCTGCGCGTTCATGTTACCTCTGATGAAGAGTAAAGGTGACCTGGAACCATAAGCTATAGCACCCCAAACCATAACTCCAACAGTGTGATGAACATGTCTTTCAACAAAAAACTGTGGATTCCTCCTTTCACCACGTCGCCTTCTAACCCTGGCACGACCATCGTGCATGCCTAAACAAAATCGAGACTCGTCACTAAAGACAATACTGTTCCATTCCTGATCCCAGAGTGACCGTTGTCTGCACCACTAAAGGCGATTACGTCGGTGTTCTCGAGTTAAAGGGAGGACCCAGTGTGGCCGGTATGAAAACAAGCCAAACCTTCTCATTCGTCGGTAAACACTTCGCATGCCAATAGGTCTTCCGTGTTCTGCAAACCATTCATTTGCAATGGACCTGGTAGTGGAGAAACGGTCCCTTAAGGCCAATAATCTTAGGCGGCGATCTTCATGGTCTGTTGTTCTACGGCGGCGTCCAGTGCCCCTTGCTCTTTGCGTACGGCCTTCTCGAAGCCATGCCTGACAACACCTAACCACAGTGTCTACACTTCTTTGCACTCTAACTGCAATTGCCCGAAAAGAAAGTCTAGCTTGCCGAAGTCCCACTATACGGCCCCTATCAAACTCACTAAGTTGACGAAATCGTACAGGTCTCCGTACTCTAGGCATCGTAACCGATCGAAAGGATGTCAAGAACCAAAATCCGCCAACGTTGATTCTTTACTGCGGCTGAAATATTCATTTTTAGAGCGTTAGTGAATTAAAAAAAAAGCAGTATAAAAACCGGAATGTCCAACTGATAAGGCTGAAAATTTTTTCACTTGTTATTTACGGTAAGATAAATACATTCACCAACTTTTATTAAAATAAAACCATTTAAACTGGGTGTTCGGATTTATATGTCACTTAGTATACATAAAAAAATAAAAATACTATACGTCAAACTTCGTTCTTTGAGGTTTTAGATGCTACTGATCATTTTCAGATTGATTTTTGTAGGAATTGAAATCCAGATTTTGTAGGGGGAGGAATTTTTATTGCCGTTAGTATATTTATACGCTCCCAGCCCCGGTAGTTCAGGTATTAGCCATATTTCATACATCATATATTCCCTCATACATTTGCTCTTAAAACTTGACCGATAACTTACAGCAGCGGTGCTGCAGTGGGTGCTGCGCACAGATGTGGAAAGGGACAACGTTGCCAGATGGGCAGTAACTACCGGTAGGGCAGGAAAATAATGTCTATGGACTAATTGTATGGGCCTGTCTGAGTGACTTGATCTGTTTGATTTCCCTGTTGTACATATTTCTCAGACGATTTAAACTGTGCTGAACCAAATCCTTTATTTATTTATTTACACCACCAACAGATAAACGAATTATTGGTGGGAGAACAGAAGTTAACATAGTACAAACCTGAAGTAATTAATATACTTAAGAAATATAACAGTCACAAAACTACACAATTATATATAACAGATTTGAAGAGGATCTTAATAGAGGTCACATTTGTATTAAATATATCAATTCTGTTTTGTAGATTGTTTAAACAGGTACACATGGAATATAGCAGAGAATGCAGCAGTAAGTTGGTCCTGCGGGTTGGTAAATAAAACTTTAGGATGTTTCTGGTGAGACATCTTGGTATATTAAATGACAGGCGACTTAGAATATCCGGACAATCATATTGGTTGTGAATAACCTTGAATAAGAATATTAGTGAGTGCATTTTTCTTCTGTGGTCTAAGCTTAGCATACCGTGCCTCTTTAATAATACATCTTGAGGAACACCTATTTCTGGATATCCTGTAGGACAGATATTTCAGAAACTTGCGTTGTATTTTTTCTAATTAGTCACAAGTCGTCACATAGCAGGGATTCCAAATAATTCTAGGGTATTCAAGTTTTGACATTACAAATGCATTATACAGCATGAGTAGAGCATTTATGCTGTCAAAATCACGAGAGTTGCGCAATACAAAACCCAGACTTTTATTTACAGAATTTAGAAGGTAATTTATATGCGGATTGAAACTGAGGGTTGTGTCAAAGGTGACCTTATAATGATATTCTATGGAGCGTTGTTTTCTGGAATACGTCATGCTGGTACACTTGGACGCATTATTATTATCGCACCAAATTATTATTCTGTTGAGATTATCTTGGAGAAGTTCCCAATCAGTGCTGTTGTTAACCTGAGTATAGATTTTAAGATCATCGGCATATAGGTAAGAGATATTTGCAATCAATAACGTCACAAATGTCATTGATAAATATGATAAAAAGAAGTGGTCCTAGCGATGATCCCTGTGGAACACCTGATGCTGGAGTAAACTTTTGAGATTTGGATCTCTTGAATTCCACAAACAGCTTACGGTTGGACAGATAGGATTTCAAAAGGCATACTAAATCATCTGAAAAGCCCATTTTATCAAGTTTTGCTAGTAGCAGATGAAGGTCCAGCCTATCAAATGCTTTACTAATATCTGTATAAATGACATCGGTTTGCACTCCAGCGTCCAGGGATTCAGAAATGAATTGTGAAAAACAAATTAGGTTAGTCGTTGTGGACCTCCCTTCCATAAAACCGTGCTGACAAGGAGATATACTCTTACTGACACTAACATATATAAAATTGTACAAAGCTTTGGAGAAGTTACATACCAAAGTAATTGGTCTATAGTTTTCTATAGCAGTTGTCACCTTTTTTAAAAATTGGACATATTCTTGCTTCTCGCCAAACGTCGAGATATATTTTAGTTTTCAGAATAATATTGTATATTTTTGTTAATGGGCATGCAAGGACAGACGCACAGTCTCTCAGCAAAAAATATGGGATACAATCTGGACCACTGGTCAATTTATTTTTCATTCTTTTCAACGCCTTATATAATTCAGTTTCGTTAAAATTAATTAGGGAAAAATTAGTGTAGGATGAAGGTAAATTACTTGACGGAGGCAAATGAGGATTCTTTGAAAATACTGATTGAAAAAAGTTTGTAAACGCATTTGCTATCTCATCAGGCGTGCTGTAGGTAGTGCCATTGTAGTTCATTTCATAAACTGGATGGTTGTGACCTTTTTTATTGCGTATATGCGACCAGAAACTATTAGGAGAATTAGCGATATCATTTTGAATGCCTTTTAAGTATTTTTTATATGCAGAATCTGTATCTCTTTTGATTTTTGCTCTCAGATGTTTAAACTCCTCAGACGTTTCAGCTTGTCCTTATGAACTGATGACGCCGTTGCGTAGGAAGTTCAGAATCAACCTACTTGACGCCATTTATTCTCCCAAAATGCACAGTACGCCTCAGCACATCTCTATTTTGGAAGTTGTTTAGAACAGGTTGTAAAAAGTAGTAATTTTTTTTATACAAAATTATATACTAAATGCTATCTGACCCTATCCTTAGATTCATACAAAATTTAGCATACTACATTCAGCAAAAATTTCAACTAGTAGCAGACAACCTCTCTATCAACTCTCGTTTGAAAATTCAAGCTATACTATATGTACGGCAGCGTTGTGATTTGTGTTTAAAACTTGCGAATCGATCTTAATTAAGTTTTGAATATGCGTTGAACTCATTTACTATGTTACCCTTTCATATTTATCATGCCATTAATGTGCACAGCTGTATTAATCTACATCTATCGATTTGCGATGTGCTGATGTTTTGCTTGATTATACAGGCCGACAAGAGTTTTACCCATAAATCAGAGTACGAGGTCTGTAAATTAAGTAAAGGAGACAGGGAAACATGTGATCCGCGTTCAGTACAAGTTTGAACTTGCTCGAGTCACTTGATTGTCCGTGGCGATTTTTTGTGAAATGTGTGAAATTAAAATGAAAATTCCAGTGCCATATCTCAGCAAGAGAAAAAGGCTACACAACCTGGCAATCGCTAGTTTTGCACTTTGAGGTTAGGATCTCTGAAACTATACTCGGGTACCGAAAAGGAAAAGAGCAAATCACAACACATGCCTAAGCTACCGCGGTATCTCTTTACATATGGCGGCATACCCGCGCGTCGACCTAAGAAGAGAGAAACATTCTGCTTAAAGTTTCGAAAAAATAGTAGTGCGTTGTACTTTTGTACCTTATCGTTTGTAAGCTAAGTGACAAAAAACGCATAACTGAAAAAATGGTAGGCAAAAAGGATTATGATATTCTTAGAGCAGAAAAAATATTTCCTGCATCACTTATGTAGAAATATTTGGGTAGAATATGCACTCAACGATAAAATGTCGAATTATAAAAGTAAATTGAGGGATTACCTGAAGAATCCTCCAGAACTCAGCTTCTTCTCAGCTTCCTGCATCAATTGATGCGCCTTGGTTTCAATATGAGACATTTTCACGAAGTTTGCGACCAATTTTCTTCGATTTCCAGTAATATGACAGACAGATGGAGAAACGTCAAACGCCGGGTAGCTAAGTCGGAAAGCTTTAGTAATTTGTCTTAAGTTGCAAGAATGTCGTCGGACTCGAAGGTGGACTCGACAAGAAGGAGAGCAGCAGAGGAGTCAGAATAGGAAAGACACTCTCTGCTAGAGGAACAGGAACGGAAAGCAAGGATAACTCATCGCCGTCGTCAACATTTTTGGTGAGTACTACAGGGACCAGATTATAAGAGCTCAAAATTGGGCTGCGCAAACGCGAAAGACACTTTCAACCAAGAGCAAAGGTCCACCGACAAGGATATTACGTATTGAAAAGTTGCATTATGTCGGTTTTTTGACATTATACGAGGTATGTTCAAAAAGTATCGCAAATTTTGAATTTTCGCGGGTTACGTATGTTCGATTTTCGATCTTTTTGTGGCGTTATGTTGGTACTCATGACCCTCAGTATTGTTGGCAATATCGGCCATTTTGAATGTTCAGTCAGATTTTGACAGCTATTGTGTGTGGACTAGTGTTTGAGCTTGTCTCCGATTTTTGTCTATTCCGAAAAACGGATCGAAGAATTTGTATTAAATTTTGTGTAAAAAACAACTTGAAGTGCGCGGACATATTCCAAATGTTGACTGTTGCATACGACAAAGCTACTTTAGACAAAAGGTGGTAAAAAATGTTCTCAGAGGGCCGAGAAGATGTGAGCGTTGAAAAGCGTTCTGGATGCCCGAGCACGTCAACAACAGACGAAAACGTTGACGAGTTCTTGCCGCAGGGTAGAGCGGTCAATAGGAAAGATTACCTTCAAGTAATGCGCAATTTACGAGAAGCAATCCGCCAGAAAAGCCCGGATTTGTGGAAGAACAAAAATTGGCTTTTGCACCATGATAACGCTCCTGCTCATGCATCGTTACTTGTGCGCGAATTTTTTGGCAAAAAACAACACTCCAATAATGCCTCACCCACCATATTCCCCAGACCTGGCCCCCTGTGACCTTTTCTTGATCCCGAAAGTGAAGAGGCCCATGAAAGGACGACGCAACACCACGATTGAGGAGATAAAGACGACATCGAAGGAGCAGCTGAACAAAATCACAAAAAATGATTGTCAAAATGCTTCGAGGATTGGAAAAAAACGTTATTACAAGTGTATAATGTCTGATGGGGATTACTTTGAATAGGACAAAATAGATATGCATGAATAAATAAATAATTCTTGATAAAACATGAAATTCGCGATACTTGTTGAACAAACCTCGTATAGTTTTTTGTGACATTATGCAGGTTTTTCTACAAGATGCCAACTCAGCACTAGCTATTGCACACTTGTTGTATACTCGTTCCGATGCTGTACGTGTTGCCTAAACGTCATGATGCTTTAGCTATCAATGTTTGGCTCTGATGTGCTTCAGAGATGCATTATTGGAAGTCCAAGCTGTAAGTTATGTACTATAGCTGGAAAGAAACGGCAGTGCATAGGTGCATAGTGAGGATTTGTGTGCTACGAGGGATGTCTTTTAAGTTTTGCATATAGAAACATAGTAGGCCGCGCGGATCGAACGTCAGTACTGAATCTTAACCTCACTCTTTAGTAAATTCAAATTCAAAGTTTCACAACAATACGTGCAGTGTTCTCGCTACAGTGAATTTTGAAGTGTCACCAAGTCATTAGAAAAATGGAACTCAACCGAGAACATTTTCGCGCCATAATTTATTACAATTTTCACAGACAATTATCGCAACAAGAATGCCTTGCTGAGTTACTGTCTGTTTTCGGCAACGAAGCGCCACATCAGTCGACAATTTCCCGTTGGTATGGAGAATTCAAACATGGACGGGTGAGTCTTAGCGACGATTCCAGGGTGGGTGCACCAAAAACGGCAGTCACCCAGGAAAACGTCGATGCTGTGCGCAAACTCACCATTTAAGATAGACATGTGACATAACGCGAGATTGAGGCGTCCTTGAAGATCTCAAAACCTCAATTCAAAAAATTTTACATGAAGAATTAGGAGTAAGAAAATTAGTTTCTCGATGGATACCCCACCTGTTGACTGAAGAGCAGAAAGCAGCCAGGGTTAATTGGTGTCAAAAAACGCTTGACCGTTCCAATTCCGGAAACTCAAAAAATGTGTACACACTTTGTTAGTGGTGATAAATCGTGGATTTACTGTTATGAACCAGAAAATAAACGACAGTCGGCTGTTTGGGTGTTCCAAGGTGAAGAAAAGCCAACAAAAGTCATCCGTTCTCGAAGTGTTTCGAAAAAGATGGTCGCGACATTTGTGTCAAAAGCGGGTCATGTTGCAACAATTCCTCTTAATCAACAAAGGACTGTTACTGCGGATTGGTATACCACCATTTGTTTGCCAAAAGTCATCACCGAGATTCGAAAAATCAACCCCGAAAGAAGAATCATCCTCCACCAAGACAATGCAAGCTCGCACACAGCCCAAAAAACTAGGCAGTATTTAACAGAAGAAAACGTGGAATTATTGGACCGTCCTTCATATAGTCCCGATCTAAGTCCTCGCGATTGCTTTACTTTCCCAAAAATTAAAACAGACTGCGTGGTCAAAGGTTCCAGTCACCCAAAGAAGCAGTTGACGCATTCAAAAATGCCGTTTTAGATCTGCCAGCAAACGAGTGGAATCAGTGCTTGGAAAATTGGTTCGAGCGCCTGCAGATGTGTATTAATCTTCGTGGAGAATACTTCGAAAAACAATAGTTATTTAAAACTACCTACCGTGTTGTTTTATTTCCATACGCAAAACTTAAAAGACATCCCTCGTAATAATCTATGTTGATGATAATACCATTGGTTTTTTGTCTGAAATACACTATGTATGCAAAGTTAAAAATTAGTTGCGCATCCGCTTTTTCTTATTCAACCTGAAAATAACATATGCAAATTTGCTGATTTTCAAAAAAGAGAGCTATAAGAAAAGAAAATCGTCGGTTTATTTTTGGCGATTTATAGGTTTTTTATGTAATAGCCTTGCGGACCGCTCTGACGAACAATGACGAATAGTAGAAGAAGTAGTTGATGTTGTAGTGAAGGACAAAATGAGAGTTTTGATAGTTGTAACAATGAACTTGAACATCCTGACTAAAAGTACCACCAGTGATTTAAATAGTGTAAGATCCCAGAGCTATCAGATATTACTTATTCTTGGGAAGACAATACGTGGGGCATTTTTTATACGTAAGTAGCCGTGTAGACAGAAGCCTAAATACGAATGCAACGCGGGTGCTATGAGGAGCTTAAAAAACTTTGTTAATCCAATTTCTGGACTGCCTAATGTTCTAATCTCGATACCCTAAAGACAACAGCTGTTCTGAATTTTCTGGAGCTTCCTTTTGTGGACGTAGTCTAAACATGGGTAATAAAGAACAAGAGAGTAAGAAATGACAGACAACACAAGACTTTCAGCCAGCTTTTTTCGGGTTTTAAAATTCAAGACGTATCGATTAGAATAGAGGAGTTTCAAACGCATATACGTTACTCTAGATAAGAAAGGGACATGCCGATCGAATCTCATATTTAAGTCAAGGGTAACACCGAGATTCTTGGCGTAATCCACAAAAGGGATGAGTGTCTCATCCAAAAAAAACACAAATCCTCTGCTTCATTTCATGGTAGGAGTTCTTCGAACAGTACAACATTGCAGTAGTTTTATTAGGATTGATCTTCAAATATTACATTCCTAAAATGAGTAACCGATGCATCTCGGATCTTCCTCAGGATCTGCCAGAAGCCTGGCTAATGACTTGGATCACCTTAAAAAAGAAACAGTTTTGATGTGGAGTTTGTCTTATAGTATTTACAAACATAGGTATTACAGCTTTGTGTACTTACATTGTTATACTTCACAACTCCGAACAAAATGCATATGGCTCAAATAACATAATAGGGACTTTATTTAATTAAAATGAACTGTTAAGAAATGACATGCTGAAAAAAGTGAGATTATTTCTACAAAGCACAGAGCACAGGAAGAAAACCGCCGGAAATTTAAATCTGGCCAATCAGACAACGTCAGTTGTCAATAAGTCGCAATTTTTTAGGATGCGACATCGTTGTCATATTATGCACCAGCAACACTGCTTTGTTTCCCATTCGCCAATGAGTTTCACCCCCCTGGGGGCAATGTTGGAGCCAAGATTACCTATGCAACACCCTGGTCTGAGTTACCCAGGGGAGACAGGACAGCAGTGCTGTAACGAACAGGATGCGTGGTCAAAAAGAGGTCCAGCAGGCTACTGGCGCGTGACGAAACGCAGGGGAAAAAATAGGTCTCGTCACCAGAGTCCTTGGGTAATGGCGAAGGCTTCAACAGCACGACCTGCTGAATCGGCCTTGTTTGAGCCCAGCCGGAGCTCAATATGGACATTGAAATCACCTTGGACAACTACCTCAGAAGCAGGGTCATTGACATCCAAAAAGTCAAACTTCACAGCTAGGCAGTCAAGTAGGCTATCCCAGTTATGGTCCGAGGGAGAGCGATAGAGGCAGTAAATAAATTTGGGTGTTGGTCTGGAGTTGAGCTGAAATCACAAAATGTCCTTCCGGCCTGAATCCAAAGAAATGCATCTGGAGCAGAAAATACTGCTGCGGAAAAAGGCCATATCTATCCAGTTTTTCCTCAGATTGAAGTTCACCTCGAAGTTTGGAAAGTTAAGATGTTTAGTCGCAGCAAAATCGGAAATTTTGGTCTCCGCTAAGAAAAACATGGCGGGACCATCAGACTGCAGATAGTGGTGAACAGCATCAATATTGCTGTTAACCCCGAAGATGTTCGTGAAGGGGATTTTATTATCGATGTTGTTCTGTCGAAGACTTCGAAATTATAGCTTCAATACCCTGTATTTTGTTAAAGGGCATTTTGGGCCCCATGTCTATATGTATGAACTATTCGTATTATTTTTACTCTACCAGTACATTATGCCCTAGAAACAGTGCCACTGTTTTCTGAATCACCCTGTCATTTTTTAATTTCGTTACAAATTGTCATAACAATTGGCGAACATCCAATTTAGTTGATAAATATTCTTATTATACCTTTAACCAACGCAAACGACAAGGTTTCAGAAAAATCCATTCCGTGGAACCGGGCTCCGAGGTTGTGAAATTTTGATGTCTTACGGCGCTCCACTAGATTTTCGATCACCGACTGAAAATTTTCCTGTGATTTTAGGGATCTTACTC